TCAGAGATCCTGAGGCAAGGCGCGCAACCGAGACCTCCGGGAACTCAAGACGAACACAAACAAGGGTAATCACCAAGTGTTCCAATGGTGACGTCCAAGTCTTGAGGACGGTCAAAAATGGAGTGTCTACACCCATATTTAAAAATTAGACTGAAATCCTATTGTCACATTTTAAGAATGACACATTCAACAAAAGTTTGATCTGACTATAGTACACAAATATCTCATTGTTACATTCTAAGAAAAATGACACATTTAACAAAGTTTAATAAAACAATAGTCCGCAAATATCTCATTGCCACACTTTAAGAAGAATAACACATTTGACAAAAGTTTAATAAAACAATAATACACACATTAGAATAAAATTACGTTGTTACATTTTAAGAATAATACATTTGATAAAAGTTTAATAAGATAATAGTGCACAAATAAAGAATATCCACATTTAGAATCTCCAAGAAATATAATGAAAGGACTTCATGGTGTACCTTTTCAAATTCAGTAAGACTTAGTAGTCTATAAAATTCATAAGACTTTCCGATACATATTTTTCTGAGATGGAACTTCTGAATAATTTCTCATGAGTATAATTTTTTTAAAAGCATAAAATTGTAAGTGTGACGTAAAAGTTGTAACGGTAAAACTTTACATTTTGAACCGTAATTATACAAACGATACACGAATCAATATATATACATAATTCGATTTCGTACAATGTTACCCCACAATGAAAAATATATACAGCAAAAATATATTATCAAGAAATCCACAATGAAACTCACAATCCGTGATTTCAAAAAACATAAAGAACAACAAAACATACCTTTGACGAAAATGTGACTAATTTTTCAATGAACACCAGAGATGTGTCGAAGCCTCCAATGAAAAGCAACCAAATAAGAATCAATAACAGCTATCCCAAAACCTTTCTTCAACTTTCACATTCCAAAAATGAAAAATTGATGGGTGCAAGATTCCTTTAATTATTGCAAAATAGAACGAACCATTGCAAGATTCCTATCAAAACGAAATATGACATATGAGTGTGAGAATATATATTGTATATATGGCATGCTTGTGTATATTAGGAATTAGGCAATTTCCTTTTTCAATAATAGGTTTAGGCTATATAAACCGCTGAACTCTTTGTAAATATACACAATTGAATATACAAAATTATTCAGAAAGTTACATGGTACCAGAGCGACATTCGAAACCCTAGTCCTCATTTGAGTTCGAGTCAACCATTTTTGTTCAGTCTCTGGTTCGTGGCCATCGATCGTACCTTCCTCTGACATCGTAGTCGTGGTCGGTTTAGTCTCTAGTTCGTGGTCATCAATCGACCCTTCTTCTGAAATCACAGCCGCGGTCATAACTCTTCTCACTCTCTAACGTCGCAATCGTGCTCTGATTGTCTCTTTTTGGTTCTGGAGTCGCGACACCGTGAGCTTTGAAGCTTCTCTGGTCTTCTTCGACTCGTGCTCTCTCTGCTCGTGGTTCTCCGGTTGGTGATTTTCTTCGACTCCTTTCTCTCTGCTCGTGGTTTGTTTGGTTTGGGTGAGCAAACTTAAAAATTTATTTTAGGTTTATTACTATTTGACCCCAATGCCTTCTGAATATTATAAGTTTAACCCATTAATTCAGAAACTTAAAAAAAAAAAAAAAAATCCTATAAAATTTTGGTACACTTGAACCCCTCAGTTTTCTAGTTATTATGATGTCTCTCGCTTCGGATGAATGTGCCTACTGCC